TGAAGTGCCATGAAATAGAGGATATGACCAGGTCCATGTTCTTTGCTGCTGTAATGACCTTTTTCCGTCAAGTGATGGCTGATTTAGAGTACCTCCAAGAAGAGATCATACACAGGCCCCCGTCAAGATCGACTGATGTCCCGCGGGCCCCTAAAGTAGCATTGGAGGCTCTTATGTATTTCTAATTTTCTTTTAGCTTCGAGTCTGTATTTCGCCTTATCGAGTCTGTTAGTCTTTTCCAAGTCTATTTCATAGTTAAGTCTGTATGTCAGAGTCATTGTAATAGAAAAAACCCAAAAATATTTTTATTTAATGAAATATTGTAAACCTAATTTTTTTATTCCATATTTATTCCCTAAACTACGTAATGATCTGATTCATGCGGCAGCGTGATACGTAGGCCATCCCCATTGGATTCAATCATAATCATAGACAATGTGATTGAAAAATGAACCAAAAAGAATTTAAAGAGGAGAGAAAGAAAAAGGAAAATTGAATGAAAAAAGGGAAAACGTGAGGAAATAAAAGAGCGAAAAAGGAAGAAAAAGATTCAGGACTTGGAAGTTGAGAAAAGAAATAGCAAATCCAGGATGAGACGCACAGCCGTTGCAAACATTTAGGCACATTTAACTATTCAAGTGCATTGTATCCCCAATATGTGATTCCCTATCTGTTAAATTTCTCAAACTAACTGGTTTGTTGTGCGGCAATGAAATAGGTCTTGTTTCAGGTGGTTGGTTTTGTGGTAGTCTGGCTTCCCATCCTTATTTCATAAGATCCAAAGGTTGTATCCATATGGCTTCTGAAAGTCATCTACCGATTATTAATCCTTAAGAGGATAGCCCGGTATCAGTTATCTAGTGTCAGAATTAACCGTTAATGAAGAAAATAGAATGTTGCGTTGTTGTATATTAGAGATATGGGATGCTTGGTCTAATGGAAAAGAACCGCCTGGTACAATCCCCAGATTTCTCGAACTGCTTCCCAGGGTAAGCGAAACCTCCAATGTCCATATTCCCGTAACCAACCCATTCATCCCTTTTGGGTACCCCATTATGTCATCTAATTTCACTAGTATGCCTTCTGAGGTTCACCCCCATGCACCATTTCCGAGAGTATCTTCTACAATATTCACCACACCACGAGTCTCTACTACAGCACAACCAAAGTTGCCTAGGCCATGTTTCGAACCGCCAGCCTTCATTTTTCAAGTACCACAATTTCAATTAGACACTGCTTATGTCACCCCAAACTCCTACTCTTAGCACCCCCGATATGAGTCTCCCATGGAACAGGAAAGAACCGTGAGGAACCCCGATCAAGAAGAGATAGTCTGGAAGATAAAAAGCATCGAACAAAGTCTTAAGAACATGCAAGGACTGAGTGGCCAAAAGAGTGTTTCGTATGCCGATTTGTGCATGTTTCCTCACGTTAATTTGCCCATTGCCTTTAAAAGGCCAAAATTCAAAAGATACGACGGGCATGGAGACATTATTTCCCATTTGAAAAGATATTGCAATCAGTTGAGAGGGGCGGGTGGAAAGGAAGAACTTTTGATGGCCTATTTCGGGGAGAGCTTAAGAGGAATTGCGTCAGAATGGTACATGGACCAATACATCTCCCATTAGCATATATGGGACAACCTCGCCCGAGATTTTGTAAGGCAATTACAATATAATGTCGACATAGCCCCAGATAGGAATTCCTTGACCAATTTTATGAAGAAAACCATGGAAATTTTTTGTGAATATGCTATCAAGTGGCGTGAGCAAACAGCTCGAGTGAAAATGCCATTGGATGAAGCAGAGATGGTAAATGTTTTCTTATAGGCCCAAGAGGTCGATTACTTTCAAAATATGATGTCTGCCATGAGCAAACCATTCATGGAGGCCATAAAAATTGGAGAAACGGTAGAAAACGGCTTGAAAGCCGGCCGCATCATAAGTCATTCAGATTTAAGAGCCACTTCCCAAGCCATCTAGAACGGCTTGAGAGGTTTAGCAAATCAGAAGAAGAGGGAAGAAGGAGCCATGATGGCTTCAAGTTCGAGAAACCCTCGTCGATCCCATAATTATTCTTGCTCGCATCCCAGAACCCCGCAACACTACTACCCTTACCAAGATGCAACATACACCGTGGCACTGCCTCCCTATGTGGTGATGAATTCCCAACCCTACACATGGCCACAACAGTACTACAACCAAAACAAAGCCCCACCTCCCAGAAATAACCATCCTCACGAAGATCCATATAACCTCATCCACCATAGAATAACTATCAACATAATACACGCCCCCGTGATCCTCTCGGAAAAAGTGATTTACCCTTATTGGTGAGTCTTACTCTAGCCTGTTTCCGAAGTTAGTCCAGATGGGTCTATTGCAACCTGTGCCTCCAAACTAGCAAAATCCGAAATCTCCATCATACTGGCCCGACACCAAGTGTCCATATCATTCAGCGGTAGAGGGACATGATACGGAGAATTGTTGGACTCTCAAGAGATCATGATAAAATAGAAGCGGGTGGTGCAGAGGGATGAGGAAATCCCTAATGTGACTAACAATACATTACCGACTCACAATAACGGGTCGGTCATTAGAATGATTTGTTATGATAAAGAGTTTGATCCGGCTTTGAAAGCTATCATCGCCATTGCTAATTCAGAGGTAAGACCTAAAGCGGCAGCGAAATAGGCCAGGAATGAGCAGAAGAAAATCACTCCAACTCCTCAAGTTGCAAAAAACGCTGTGGAAACAAAAGCTGGAGCAACACCTACTAAAGACGCAATTCTTTATGTTCCCAGGGCCCTGAGGAAAGAGCAGCTCATGTTGAACCCTCCCAAAAGATTTGAGCAAAAGAAAGTCGTGCTGAATGTGCCAAAATTGTATGTACCAAAAGGGACCTAGTGGCACAGAGGGCGGTAATTTCACCAAGGCTGACTGAGCCTGTGGTTATCATCCGCACACCATAGATCCCTATGAGAGACCCCACTGTAGTCCCATGGAATTACAGCAAAATAGTGGTTACTTACAATGGGAAAGAGATTATAGGAGAAGTAAATGAAATGAACTAATCTGGGAGATACCACAACCTAGAAGAGATGAACAAATCAAAGCTAAACAAGGAGAAATGGTTTCCACCCAAGAAGTATGTGAGTGCTGAAGAGGCAGAAGAGTTCTTCCGAATAATGAAAAGTTTGGAATATGCCATAATTGATCAACCCAGGAACACTCCTTCCCAGATTTCACTCTTGTCCTTGCTGATGAGCTCAAATGAACATCAGAAGGTGCTTCTGAAAACATTGAATAAGGCCTATGTCCTGATTGAAACTTCAGTCGAACAATTGGAAAGAATGGCTAAGCGATTTTTCGAAGTTAGCCGGATTTCCTTTAGCCGCGATGACTTGCCTCTAGAGGGAGATGCCCATAACAAAGCCCTTCACTTGACTGTCAAATGTGAAGGTTATTATGTGAAGAGGGTTATGCTAGACGGTGGGTCCAAAGTCGACATTTGCCCTCTTTCAATGGTATAGAGGATGGAAATCGGGACAAAAAGGATTAGACCGAACAATGTCTGTGTGCACGCTTTTGATGGTGTCAAGCGCGATACGATAAGGGAAATAGAGCTGATTCTGACCATTGGCCATGTGAAGTTCGAAGTCACTTTCCAGGTTCTGGATATGATACTTCGTATAACTTTCTCCTAGGAAGACCATGGATTCACGTTGCAGGGGCTATGCCCTCCACTCTCACCAAATGGTCAAGTTCGAACATGAAAACTAAGAAATTGTTGTCCACAGGGAGGATGAACAGTCCATTTACAGGGACTCGTCAGCCCTATGTCTCGAAGCTAGAGAAGGAAGTGAGCACATTGTTTATCAAGCCTTCGAAATTGTCGTCGCCGACAAATGTGAAGAAAGGGCTCCATTTTCTCAACCTTGCTTATCAAATTAATCGGTCATGGTAGCCAGTGAAATGATTAAACATGGGTACAAACTTGGGAAAGGGCTCGGGGTGTCTCTGCAAGGCATCACAGAGCCCATCACTTTGATCGGTAGTAAAAAGTTCTTTGGCGTAGGTTTCCAAGCTACAAATGTTGACGTAAAATGGCTGATAAGCGCAAGAAAAATGGGTGGGTCCTTTCTCAGCATGTTCCGCATCTCGCCAAGTCATTTGTTAAACCCAAGTATGAAGAAGAAGAAGAGGAAGAGTCCTTCACGACTGAGGAGATTGAGGATATTTGTGAGGCAATGAAACAGATGTTGTATGAGTCCCACATGGTCCAGCCGGGAGAAAGCACGAGCACTGCTGAGGTGCTGTACATGGGACCAAATGCCAAGCTTTAGAATTGGAAGGCTACCCCATTCCCTGTCGGGCGGGAATTTCGGTAGTCCATTCTTGCCATCTTTTCTACATTACGAGTTATTTCAGGGTGTAACTCGAATGTTTTTATTTTTATTGTCTTTGATTTTGATGTAAACCCTCCTATCTTCAAATTCAATGAAATGAATCAATATTTCATCGTCAATGGACGTCTTCTTTTTCCTTTATACTGATTGTAAGCACGTAATTTTTGACCCGCACAATTTTAAGTTAGTTGTAGTATTTTAAATATTTACTTGAGTTATTATAGATTTTTAATCCATTTTTTTACTACCATTTTATTAGTTTAATTTTATTGTTTTAGTATTTAAAAATTAAAATAAAATACAAAAATAGTTTCAATTTTTATGTTTAGTTTTATTTTAATAGTTTATTTTTGATTAATTAAGAGTGATTTTTAGATTTTTTATAAGTACATTACATTGTTTTAGTCTTCCTACATATTTAAGCCCAACAAGACAAAGACCCATTTTCTAACATGTTAGCCCACTTAAGTGCAAGATTTAATCCTAGTCATCGATTTTCCTCCAATCTAATGGCCCATGTCAATTCTTATACCTATATTTAAACCCAATTATAACCAAACTCTACCAATCTACAAATCTCCTAAATCCTAAACACAAAAAAGCTGGAAAACGGTCAAAAACACCCAACGGCTGGACCTCCTCCCACGGAAAAATCCCAATGACACACATACATAGAAAGGGACGTGACAGTGAGGGAAAAAGGATTTGAGGATTAAAAAAAAAGAAAAGAGATTAAGAGAATTGGGGGAAAACGGCAAAGAAGGGGATGAGAATTGAACAAAGAACTGGAGGAAACAATTGAGTGGGGATCAGACTTTAAAAAGAAAAGAGGAGCAGCAGTTGGCAAAAAAAAAAAAGCGCAGCTATCTCCTTCTCCGACCAAAATGCAGTAGCTTTTCACACCATTTTTTCAGCCATATAAACTCCACATATCTCCATTAAAAAACAGCCCCTTTGCACACACAAAATGGCAGAGTCGCCGACAAGATAGGTTTGCCGTCGAGGTTCGATTTGAGATCGTTGCTCTTTGTTTACGGTTTGAGGTTTGAGTTCCAATTCGTTCATAAAGGTCCGACTCTAACTCTATTTGTTATTCAATTTTTAGATTTGTTTCTCGTGATGCCATATATGGAATATTTGTTAGATTAGCTATCATTTTAGTTCTTTATTGATTTTCTATGTTTCATTAAGGAGGACTAGATTATTGTTTGGTTTATGTAATTTTTTGAGCAGTAGGTTTTACATGGCTAAATTTGGTTAAATGCTTAGGCCCAGAATAACTCCTGATGTTACTATGTTTAATAAGATTTTATGTATGCTTTGTAAGAAGGGGGGGTGTCCAAGAAAGTGAAAGGCTTCTTAATATGATTATGAAAAGATGACTGTTTACAAATCTTTTTTGCAGATAATGTCTCGAGCTCTAGTATAGATTATTGAAATTGGAATTGGAAGGTGGTGCTGTATATTCAGTATTTCTGTTTAACTGAGTTTGGAAAATATATTGTACTGGATCGAAGTGTACGATTCCAAATTTCTCTTATAAAGGGATTGTTGAACCTTTTAACTGAGTTTAGAAAATTTATGGCTTTCATTGTTAATTAATTTCCTTTACCATCGGCCCTTGTTTTATCGACGCACCCCATGGATGTATTTCACGCTAGCTTCAAGGATTTAAATTGTTAGCGCAAAAACTCTACACTTTGGTTCTGTAAATATGATTTCACTCATAATTGATTGCAATAAATAATTTTCATAACTCTTGGTTTTAAAATAATCTCAAACTTAGAAATAATTAAACATTCGTAGTTTTTTTTAGGCACGCAATTAAAATTATTACAACTACGAATACGGTTCCCGTGGCGTGGTTGTGATACCTAATTTTTAATTAGATTAAAGTAGGAGCATCTTTAGTTTGCCTTAGAGAACTACAAATCTTTTCTTTTAAAATAAATTGTGGTGTGCCATACGCAAACAAAATCCATAAGCTATGGCCCTCACTTTAATATTAACTTAGTATAGAAAACATTTTGAACATTCGTAGTTTGCTTTATGCACGTTTATAATAAAATAATCATGGCTACGGGTACGGTTCCCGTGACGTAGTTGTGATACATAATTTCCAAATTCGGGGGTACATTTATATGACCCGGCCACAACAACTAATAATGTTAAGAATTAAACACGTTGTAGATCGTGGGTATGGTTCCCGTGATATAATTTGCAATGTGTATCAAACAAACAGGTGTACGAAAATCGTAACTTGTTCCAGATTAATTCCATAAACTAACTAAAAGCGGCTATAAAGCTAAAAATGCACAATAGATTAAAACATGTAGTAAATCAGCTAATAGGCCAATTATTAATAGTTTAAGCGACCGTGCTAGAACCACGGAACTCGGTAATGCCTAACACCTTCTCCTAGGTTAACAGAATTCTTTATCTAGAATTTCTGGTTCGCAGACTTTAAAATAAAATCGAAATTTTCTCGATTTGGGATATTAAATATATCGGTGACTTGGAACACCATATATTATTTCAAGTGGTTACTTTGATAAATTAAATAAAATAATCTCATTTCAGTTAATGTCACTTTAAATTGGAAAAAACTCTCATATACCCTCGGGTGTAAAAATAGGTATGACAGCTCTGGCAACTCTGCTGGGGATAAAATCAAGAACTTTCGGTTCAGGGTTCAAGAATTGGAGCTTAGAATAACTGTTATACCTGGCTTTGTTTATTATCTGATTTTTACATATTTGGGCCTAATGTGCTAAATGTCGCTTTTTACCTCTTTGATATTATTTGAACTATATATAAACTGTTATGAAACTCTTCTCTTCTCATCTTCGAGGATGTGCACGCTGGCGTGACTCCTCTTCTGTTAGTGTCATGCCTTAAATTAGAAAGAGGCTCGGACAAGTTACAAAGTCGGATGACCTTTTGGTTTCAAGTACGTAGCCCCCCCTCAGATCGAGTTGTCCGCTCGGGTAAACCAAGTCTAGAATAATATACCTAGGTTTTAAACCTAGAATAACTCAGTCTCATGCTGGATCCCTAGTAAGAACGCTTGTTTGCATCATGTGCATTTGACTTTGGGAACTCAACACAGGGGTTGGGTCCGTTTAGGACAGGTGCACCCGAAATAATAAGACCATCCTGATGCATCTTACGTGTTGCATACGCATCTGTTTAGTTCGGCATGCATGTTCACCGGCTTCTAGAATAGGGAAAGAAAATCAAAAAAAATGTGAGATGGATATTTAGAAAATTCTGGAACTCTGCCGATATTCTGAAGAAAAAGAAAAGTCTTTTCAAATCAAGCCAAAATTTTCAAGGTCATGTTTCCCTTGTTCCGTCAAAACCGACCGAACTACGTGGGTCTGATTCTTATCGGATGTGAGATACGTAGGCAAACCTCATTGGTTCCTGCCCCAATTTTCAAAAAATAAAATTCCAAAAAAATATTTCCTTTAGTTCCTTCTTTAGAAATCTTTCCTTAGAAAATACAAAAAAACGTTTTTAAACTCAAAAAAGTAGTTTCCTTCTTTTTGAAGTCTTTCATACGTCAAAAAAAGAAAAAAAAGAAAAAAAAAACAAAATCAAAAAATCAAAATCCAAAATAGGGATTTCCTTTATTTTGAAGTANTTCTTTCGTAAATGTCATAAAAAAGAATTGAAAAATTGAAGTCCAAAAAATATATTTTCATTTTTCTTTAGAAGTACTTTTTGTAAATTGTAAAAAAAACTCAGAAATCCAAAACATTTTCTTAAAAGCCCCGCTTTCAAAATTAAGAAGCAACATCCAAAATCCAAAAAAAAATATATATATTTTCTTTCTTCTTTAGAAAAGAGAAAACAAATGAAAATTCAAACAAAAATATTTTTCTTTTGCTTGTGAAATTGCCAAAGTTCAAATCAAAAGAAATGAATTTTTTAAACGTCTTTCTTTCAAAAATAAAAGAAAAATTAAAATAAAATAATTCCAAAAAAAACTATTTCCTTTCTTCTTTTAAAGCATTTCTTTCAAAAATTTCAAAAACAAATAAATAAAAAAAAACAACAAAACAAAAAAACATTCAAAAAAAATATGTTTTTCTTTTTTTTAAAGCTTCCATGGTCTGAGTTTTATAAAAGTAAACAAAAAAAAGAGTTAGCTTATTTACTTTATTCCCGATCTTCCTGAACTACGCAAGATCTTATTCATGCGTCGTCATGATATGTAAGCAATCCCCATCGGATTCGATCATAGCTATAAATAAATTGAGTGAAAAATAAACTTAAAAAAAGAGAAAAAATTTGAGTGAAAAAGAAAGAAAAAGTGAAAAAAAAGAGCAACAAAAAAAAAGAGTGACAAAAAAAAGAAAAGAAAAGAGAGTGCCAAAAATTAAAAGAGCGACAGAAACAAAATGAAAAATAAAATCAAATCAAGGGTGATTAAAGTGAGATAGAAATAAAAAAAAGAGGTACAAAGTGAAAAGGGTTAGTTAAGACCGGAATTGTGACGACCCAGCCAATCGTCTCATGAATTACCGCTCCGTTTTTCCCATTTATGCTTTTTTATGCCATGTTTATCCGTGTTATGTGGTATCGGGTTGATCGGATCGAATCCGGAATGATTTTGGTAAGGTTTGATACACTTAGTCTCTTTTGAGGAAGCATAAGTTGGAAAAGTCAACTGGATATTGACTTATGTGTTAGAGGGCTTAGATGTAAGTTTCAATGGTTCGGTTAGCTTCAGGAGGTGATTTGTGACTTAGGAGCGTGATCGGAATGAGTTTTGGAGGTTCAGAGTAGATTTAGGCTTGAATTGGCGAAGTTGATATTATGGCAATTTCCGGTTGGTAGGCGAGATTTTGATATAGGGGTCAGAATGGAATTCCGAGAGTTGCAATAGTTCCTTCATGTCATTTGGGATGTATGTGCAAAATTTCAGGTTATTCGGACGTGGTTTGATTGTGTTTTTGATCAAAAGCGAAATTCGGAAGATTTTAGAAAGTTTGGCTTGAATCCGATGTGTTTAGGTCGATTTGATGTTGTTTGAGGTGTTTTGAAGATTGGTGCAAGTTTGAATAAGGTATTGGGATAAGTTCGTGCTTTTGGCTGAGGTCCCGGGGGCCTCAGGGTAATTTCGGATGGTTAACGGAGAAGTTTGGAATTTGTTGCAGCTGCTGAAATTGTTGCTTCTGATATTTTTCGCACCTATGGATTGGGGACCGCAGGTGCGGCGCCGCATAAGCAGAAGGTTGACCGCAGAAGTGGATTTTGGAGAAGTCGTCAGGAACCTCAGAAGCGGTGGGAATACCGCATCTGCGCCATCTGCGATGACACAGATGCGGAAAGTTGATCGCAGATGCGGAAAGGGGAGTTTAAGTGAGTACCGTAGATGCGGTACCGCAAAAGCGAAAATATAACCGTAGATGTAAAAATGTTTAGGCAGAAGGTATAAATTGTGGCCTTCGCGAATTTTGAGCTATTTCACCATTTTTATCTCGGCTTCGGAGCTTTTTGGGCGATTTGAAAGAGGGATTTCAAGGGAACTTCATTGAGGTAAGGAATTTAGACTTAAAACTCGTCCCTATGCTATTATTTCACGGATTAGAGCTAGAAATTTATGGAAATTAAGGGTGAAAATTGGGGAAACTAGGGCTTGAGAACTTAGGCCTTTAATTGAGGATTTGAAGGACCATTTGGGGTCGGATTTTTGAACTTTTGATATGTATGAACTCGTGGGGAGGTAAGAAATCTATCGATGTAAAAATTATTGAATTCTGACGTGGGCCCGGGGGTCGGGTTTTGGTAATTTTGGGATTTATGTTGTAAATTGATTATTTTCGCTTGGGTTTCGTTCCCTTAGCATATTTTGACGTCCTCGTTTTGATTTTGGATAGATTCGACGCGAGTGGAGGCCGATTCGAGGGGCAAAGGCGTCGCGAGCTAGAGATTTGATCGGTTCAAGGTGAGTAATGATTATAAATGATGTTCTGAGGGTTTGAAACCCGTATTGCACATCGTAGTGCTATATTGAGGTGAGGCACAACTTGATGACGAGTGTGGGGTCGTACACTATTGGGGATTGTGACTTGGTTCGTCCCGATTGATGGTTTTACCGCGTATTTGACTAAAATCTACTTGCTATCATCATTATTTGGGTTGAATGCCATATTTGGGTTTCGTGCCAACTATTTGAACCCTTCGGAGATTTTTACTGGTATTTCCTCACTATTTTGACTTTATACTTAAACTCAGTCATGTTATTTTCCATTGTTCTCATACTCAGCCAAGTTTACTAAGTTTTAATGCGTAAATGATATTTTAAATTATGTTTGGGCTGAGAAAGACTGTTTTACTATTGCCTGAGTGGCATGTGAGGATTTTTACTGAGTAAGGCCGAGGGTCTATGTTGTGAGGAAACATTTGATACTGATTATGAGGCCGAGGGCCTGAGATATGTACGCCACGAGGTGATTTGATTGATGTGAGGCCTCGGTCCTAGTGATGATGCCACGAGGTGGCTTGATATTGCGCTTGGGACGTAAAGGGGCCCTCCAGGAGTCTGTACACCCCTAGTGAGTGCGGGTAACCATTATGATG